TTTATCTGCCAGCAGAGAGGTGGGGCCCCTGTGAGGTCATAAAGATCCAGGAGAAAATGGGTTGGGTTCCCAAGGTAGCAGCAGCAGCACTCTTGGGATTGGCTGAGTCCTGAAGATGATGCCAACAGTCCCTCTGATCATGTGATTCACCCACAAAAGCTTGCGTTTTGCATGATTTTTTAAAAACATATTTTGTATTAGTGAGCTGTAAATGTATCCCCTGTCACCGATCCCACTGATTGTTAACTCTCCCCATGTTGGCCTTCTGAGAGGATTTTAGGCTGGTGCTCCAAAAAGTTATCTTCCAGCATTTGCACCAAAAGGAACATTGCTAAACCCTGAGCTAGGGGAAAAAATGAAAGTAATAAATGAATAAGGACGGGTGCAGTCACACAATGCAGCCTTTGATCCTTTTGGGTTGGTTGGAGGGGTTTTTTGCCTCTTTGGACATTTTTTCTTGCCCTTGCCATGAAAAAGATATTATAAGGAGCCCGTTAAGAAAAAAAAACTAAGTGTTTGAAACACATACCAGTATTTTAACACCGTCCCTGTACTATCAAACATGCAGCTATGTTTCAAAGACTCTACCAGTCTTTGGAACCCTCTCCCACTGGAAGGCAGATTCGCCCCATCTTTGCTGTCCTTCCACAAGCCGGCGAAGACGTTCCTCTTCAGGCAAGCTTTCCCTTATGGACTGGCTACCTGGGTTAGGATCTTGAATGGACTGTTGTGCCTTATTGCTTTGAACATGTTTTTGGCGTTGCTTTTATTTACTGTTTTTATTGGGGGTATTTGTTCCTGTAAATTCTTTTTTCCAGCACCTTTCAAAGCGTGGCTGTCAGGGACTGAACCTGCAACTTCCTGCATGCCAGACTGGCTGCCAGCCTCTGAACTAAGTTGCTCCCGTCACGTTCTCCATTGCTGGTGCCATCATGAGCTTGCATATTGGTGTTTGTATAAGGTTTGAGTAACATGCCCAGGCTAATTGAAAGATGCCAAGGAGTGTCTGGGTCACATACCTGGTCGTGTGCCTGATTTGTGCAATCAGGATGTACCCCAGCACTTCATTAATGAGCTGTAGCCATGGCAAGTTACTCATATCTTATGCAAGTGCCAATAGGAGTCCAGTTAAAATGTCTATAAATAGAAAGTGCTTCCTTTCTGTCTCCCTTTCAACATTGAGCACATTACTGCAAAAGTACTGCAGACAGTTGGGTAGACATACGTTTCTCTCAGGCTGGACATACAGTAGGACCCCTGCATCCGGTGGATCAGTATCCACAGTTTCACTTATCCGTAGTCTGAAATTTTGAAAACGATTAAAAGAAAATAATTAGAAATAAGTATTTTCACAATGTATTTACCCAAACTGGCCACAGGGAGCCCGAGACCATACTAGGTCTTGTTATTGTTGAAGAATACATACCATGGTCTCTGGCTCCCTTGGTTGGCCAGCTCTGGTGATATAGGTGAAAAAGACATATTCTTGGATTTTGCTCTTTTACTATGCTAGTTATTATTATTATAGTGTTCACCATTATCCACAGTTTTCAGCATCCCTGGGGGGCTTGTAACCAATCCCCCACAGATATGGGGTTCTGACTGTACTTTCTGATTCAGAAACTGTGTTTTCTAGTTCCAAAATTACTCCCCGTGTCAACATTTGTACATACATAGTATGTTATGCATACCCGTACAAATTGCTTCCTTACCAAAATGCTGAAATCAAGTCACAGCCAGCTGAACTCACACACCTGCTGACACAAGAAGGGGAATACACTATAAAATTATGCAGAAGATGAATAAACTGGATAGAGGGAAGCTCTTTTCCCTTTCATGCAATACCAGAACCAAGGGACATCCATTCCAATTGAGTGTTGGGAGAGTGAAAACAGATAAAAGAAAGTATTTCTTGACTCAGCGTGTTGTTAGTTTGTAGAACTCCTTGCCATAGGATGTAGTGATGGCATCTGGCCTAGATGCCTTTAAAAGGGGATTGGACAGATTCCTGGAGGAAAAGTCCATCGCAGGTTACAAGCCCTGATGGGGATGTATAATCTCCAGGCTTAAAAGGGAGGTACCAACTGCAGCGGATGGTATCAGGAGACAGGTATCTAGTTGTCTCGTATGCTGCCAGAGGCATCTGGTGGGGCCACTGTGAGATACAGGGAGCTGGACTAGATGGGCCCTTGGCCTGATTCAGCAGGGCTCTTCTTATACGTTCTTATGTTCTTAAGCAGCTGAAATTCCCAAAGCCTCCTAATATATTATAATATAAGTGTATTCAGTGTTAACACCTCTAGAATAAAACATTAATAATGTTGTACTTCTTGTCATTGCAAAATGTGATACAGTACTGTACTTGTGATTGTGGAATTCATAGAATCAAAGTATCATAAAATAATCGAGTTGGAAGGAGCGTACAAGGCCATGGGGTCCAAGCCCCTGCTCCATGCTGTCATCCAGTCAAAGCAGATCTGACACAAGGTTGGCCAATTTTCTCTTGAATGCCTCCAACATGGGTGCGTTCACCACCTGCCAAGGTAACTGGTTCCAATGTCATACAGCTCTAACAGTTAAGAATTTTTTCTCTATATTCAACCTAAATCTGGCACCTGTAATTTGGGCCTTTTATCATGAGTCCTTTCATGTATTTCAAAAGTGCTATCATATCTGCCCTCAGTCCCCTTTTCTCAAGGCTAAACATTTTCAGCTCTTTCAGCATTTCCTCATAGGGCTTGGTTTCCAGTCCCCTGATCATCCTCGGGTG